TATTTTTAAGGAAATATCTTTTAGACTTGAGTGTAGGAATGCAATCTGGCTGGAGACCTTACATCTTGGGTGACAGTGCAGTGACGTAGGGGGGTCAGGAGACATGCTTGCAAGGGGAGTGACTGAAGGAGGGCACTTCAGGGACAGAGGCATGTAGGAGTGTGGAGACGTGACTTAGGTTTGGCAGGAGTTGAGGAATCTCAAGTCCTAGTAAACAGCCCCCCTTCCCCCCCCCCCAGAGGTAGGAAGCAGGGTGGGCTGGCTGGGGAGGAGGCAGAGCAGGTTGGGAATGGCCAGGGCGCGGAGCTGGCGGGCAGGAAGACGATTGGCAAGAAGCCTTCCCTGGGGGGAGATGCCAGAGGTCCCAGCTGACATGGGAGACAATCCGTTTCTAGTGGCATCTGCCTGCCTGGTTGTATGACTTCTGCTTCTCCCACCTCCACCCCACCCGCAAAAAACACACCTTTGAGGTTCTACATTGCATCCTGAGCCCCCCAACTTGGAGCCTTACTCATTTCATGTGCCATTTGCACCTCGGGACACGTAGGTCCGTGTCGGTCTGTGTCTGCGTGGAGACTAGATGTAAAAGGCCCTTGTCATTTTATTTTTTTAAAAATATATTTTATTGATTTTTTACAGGGAGGAAGGGAGAGATATAGAGAGTCAGAAACATGGATGAGAGAGAAACATCGATCAGCTGCCTCCTGCACACCTCCCACTGGGGATGTGCCCGCAACCATAAAATCTGCAAACCAGGTACATGCCCTTGACCAGGAATCAAACCTGAGACCCTTCAGTGCACAGGCTGACGCTCTAACCACTGAGCAAAGCCGGTTAGGGTGGCCCTCGTCATTTTAAAGCTCCATGAGGTCTGACCGAGGCAGGCAGTGTATGGCTCATTTCTTTTTCTGCTGTGAGTTACATGTCTGCACAGCTCATTAAATACACTTTGCCCTAAAAGCTCATTGAATACACTTGGCCCTGGCCGGTGTGGCTCAGTTGAGCATCATCCGTGCACCGAAAGGTTGCCGGTTCGATTCTGGTCGGGGCCTGTTTCTGCTGTGAGTTACATGTCTGCACAGCTCATTGAGTACACTTGGCCCTGGCCTGTGTGGCTCAGTTGAGCATCATCCCGTGCACGGAAAGGTTGCCAGTTCGATTCTAGGCAGGGCCTGTGCCTGGGTTGCCGGCTCCATCTCCGGTGGGGAGCATGCAGGGGGTAACTTGCAGGCTCCATCCCCGGTGGGGAGCATGCAGGGAGTAATCGATGTTCCTCTCCCACATCAATGTTTCTCTCTCTCCCCCTCTCCCTTCCTCTTTTTCAAAAAATCAATAAAAATAGCCCTGGCCGGTTTGGCTCAATGGATAGCGCATCGGCCCATGGACCGAAGGGTCCCGGGTTCGATTCCGGTCAAGGGCCTGTGCCTCGGTTATAGGCTCCGTCCCAGCCCTGGTCGGGAGACAACCAATCGATGTGTCTCTCACATCGATGTCTCTCTCTTCTCTCTCTTTCTAGCCTTGCCCCCTTCCTTCTACTCTTTCGTACCATCGTCTAAGTGTGCCTGGTTCCCATGAGTCTTTGCAGCCCCCCGACTTCTGTCTGTGGGTAAATGTTGTGAGTGTGGCTGTGGTTTCTCCTGAGCAGTTGTTACTATGAAGCAGGAAAATAATCGTGTCCTGGTTTGATATAGCAACTTTGTTGGAGGATTCCTTAAACAGTGGGCACTACTGAGAAAGAGACAGGCGTTGTGTGAGAATCCTCGTTTTAATTCCAGAAATACTAATAAGGTAGCATTTGGAATAAAGGTCTGTGATCGCCTATTTTTACCTGGAAAAGTTTAGATATCTTATGTAAGTTAAAAATTATGGGAAATTCTCTAATTTTAACAAAGATATAATTATATCCAAATTCAAGTTAAATTTTAAAGATTTTTATCATTTAAAAAAGCCCTGGTTTGATATAGCAACTTTGTTGGAGGATTCGTTAAACAGCGGGCACGACTGATACATGAGAAAGAGACAGGGGTTGTGTGAGAATCCTCGTTTTAAATTCCAGAAATACTAATAAGGTGACATTCGGAATAAAGATCTTGTGATCGCCTTTTACCTGGAAAAGGTAAGATAGTTTATGTAAGTTGAAAATTATGGGAAATTCTGAAATTTTAACAAAGATATAATTATATCTAAACTCAATTTAAATTTTAAAGATTTTTATCATTTAAAAAGCTAAGGAGGTAAAACTTGAAATTGCAATATGCGTCTCATGTCTGAGTCTCTCCAAAGACAAGTCTATTTTAAGGAGTTGTTTTTTTGTATTTTTGTTGTTTTTTTAATGTGTCCATTTATGGATATTATTACTATGGAAAACAGTTGGGGAAGGGGAACTGACTTCTGCAGATTTTTATTTTTGAAGATTTCTTTAATATGTTTTTACTGATTTTTAGAGAGAGGAGTGGAGAGGGAGAGAGAGATAGAAACATCAAGGATGAGAGAGAATCATGGATCAGCTGCCTCCTGCACGCCCCCCACTGCGGATGGAGCCCGCAACCCGGGCATGTGCCCTGACCAGGATTCGAACCGTGACCTCCTGGTTCATAGGTCGACGCTCAACCCCTGAGCCACGCCGGCCGGGCATGTCTCTGTGCTTTAGTTGAGTGTGGCTGTAAAAGAGAGTTACAGCCCTCATTCCTGCCCTTGGCATCCCTGCTCCCACCCTCGGGGCAGGTGCCATGTTGTAAACGATGGTTTGGATCCATAGAAGCTGCCGTTCGGGGCAACTAACGGGCAGATTTGTTAAAATGCGAATTTACAAACCAGTTCCCAGCGACCCCAAATGTGGCCAATTTTTCCTGTTGTTCATTTTCACCCCTTGCTGGTGACTCCCTTGCGACTTTCCTTCTTCCTCCTCCTCATCCTCCTCCCCCGCCCTCTTTTTTTTCCTCCTCCTCCTCCTCCTCCTCCTCCTCCTCAGACCTGCACACACTCTCGAGGACACAGTGTCACTGTAGGGCCTGTTCTCTTGTCTCCGTTCTCCTATCTTTCACGCGCTCACTCGTGGGTTTTTCTTGAGAGAGAGGATCCCTTCCTCCCCTCTTGCTGGGAACAAAAAGGGAGACACATTGAGACAAGATACGTTCCCATGGCAACAAGAGATTGGCAGTAAAAAATCTGGAAAAGTTTTAGTTAGCCTCGGCTAAAACACGAGGAATCGGGCTGCTTTGGGCGAGTTTGGAGACGAAGAGTTCTTGCAGTTAGATTAAAAGCAGCTTTAGATGAAAAGAGAGAGTGGGAGCAGAGCATCCCCCGCCCCCATGAGGAGCCCCTCCTTTTCCCAGCACCTCCTCAGCCCGATCCTGAATTTCCCAGG